TGGTAAAAAAAAAAAAAAAAAAAAGGTCCTCCCCAGACATCGGAAACACTCTATACAGCGACAAAGCACAGCTGATTAAAACCTGTCAATTCTTTGCCATACAGACACACCGAAGGGCTAGAACCCAAATGGCCGCTGGATCGGAAAAGTAAAGTAAAAGTAAAGTTTAAAAAAAGGCCCATTAAAATGTAAATTTTAACAGTTTGCAGTCACACAGCCAGCAGTACAAATTACCCCCAACTGGTCACCCAGCCAAGAGAGCGACTGCAACGGACTTGTCCGGTGACCGCAGAGGACAATTTTCCCTGTTGCATTACTGCGCCAAGTGACAGTAAAGTGACAAACAATGTCATGTAACAATGTAAATATCGAACAGGAAATACGCGAAATATGCACATTACTACTGATTACTGGAGCTGACCTGAAAGCTGTACCTGATTTAGGAGGGAGACTTCACTCCCCCCTCAGCCGCCATGCCGTCAACAACCATATCATTCTGAGTACACTTTCATGAAGATACTTAACAGGTTATATCTTTTATTTTCATAGTAGAGGGTTTTACGACGCTCGCAACAGCATAAGGTCATATGAGCGCCAAGGGGTGGGTGTCAACAGAGAAGTCTTTACAGGGAATCAGGCTTATTCTGCTCACCTCTCTAGCTTCAACAGCACAAAGTCTGCTTCGACTATCAAGGCATCCCGGAAATAGCGGGTCACAAGAGAGTGACAAACATACAAAAGAAGTAGAGGAAAATGATAATAGTAAGGATCAGGAAAGAAAAAGCAGCAGTTCCCTGTTGTAGATCAGGCACAGTTATGAGCGTGACATGAGTCTGCCAATTTACAATTCTACTATGCTTGAACGAGATATGTCTCCCCTTTGGGAATGGCCTAAAGACACTTCAGTCAGTGGCACTGCCCCGGGGGGGGGGGTTAGGGAGACTTCACTTCTCCCTAAGCCGCCATGCCGTCAACAACCATACCATTGTGAGTACACCATCATCAAGATACTTAACAGGTTAGTGCCCACAGATTCTAGATCTAGACAGGTTACACAATCCCTTCATCCAACCTGCAGGAAGAGCTCGGTCCCGATGCGAATCTCCAACATGCGCATGACGAGCCGCGCCTTCTTGGAGAAGATCTCGGCGTAGCGCGGCGACAGCGTGTGCGGGGAGCGGATGGAGAAGGTGTGGTTGCTGTCGCGCTTGGACGGGTCCAGGATCACGTAGCCCGCCTGCTGCTCGTACTCACTCACCTCTTGGAGGTCCTGCCAGGAGCAAAGTGTGAGGTGTGAAGATTACTACATGTATAGGATACTGTAGCTTGACACCTGCCAGGAGCAAAGTGTTTGTTTAAAATGTCTAAGGAAGAGTTTTACGGCACAATAAGGTCAAATTAGTGCCGAAGATTAGACGTGGTACAAGAAAATAACAAACACAAAATAGAAGGAGGGGAGATAAGGATGATAGACTTTTTATAGGAAAGAAGAAGCAAACCACAGCAGAGCACCCACCAACCACCCACGAGCAAAGTGTGAGGTATGAAGATTACTATGGGTTCTTATATATTTAAACAACCTATTTAACCCTATCCGTATGTCGGGTTTTACTATCGTATCCATACAACGTGGGAAACTCTGTGCCACCACTTTCAAAGAGGAAATTTACTCGTTAATCCGATCCATACGCTTTGCATAGCAGTCTGTCAAAATGATGTTTTGAGAAATACTGAAAGCTTCAAAGAGATCTTCGTACTAGAAATATTCTAAAATGTGAAGAATACAACCCCGAGGGTACAACACAATGACCCCAAGGCGTACAGATAGGGTTAAACAATCCACCAGCAAAGTGTGAGGTGTGAAGATTGCTATAGGTTACTATCATTTGACACCTGCCACGAGCAAAGTGTTTTAGTTTTCGTAAAGAGTTTTACGGCACTTGCAAAACAAATAGGTCATATAAGTGCTGACGATTAGAGGTGTTACAAGAGAGTAACAAAAACACACAAAAAAGAGGAGGGATCAGGATGACAGATGTTTGAAAGGAAAGAAGGGGCAAACAACACCAGAGCACCGACCAACCCCCCATTGAGCAAAGTGTGAGGCATGGAAACTGCTGTAGGTTGCTATACAGCTTGTTTTGTTTTTGTAAAGTGTTTTACAGCGCTCGCAACTGCATAAGGTCATATGAGCGTGCGGAACACACCTAATATTTTCAGTTGGTAGGAAATTTTGAATTTTGCCCGGGTGGCGGCCGAAGCCTACTCTTATCGATTTTAGACCACCAAGGGATCTTTAA